GATATTGTGAAACAGATATGAGAACAAAATACCAGCACCTGGCTCACGAGGCTAGCCATGTAGAGAAATTATTTCTGTAATCGTTATTGCGAACGGGCTAATCCCGGTCAGCCTTTTGGGTCATCTAAGCTTTTAATTGCTGCTCCGTGGCAGACCGCTCCGGGCTCAAGTGCAGAAGGCGGTGCTCCTCAATAATAACCGCATCATAGGCAGATTTTTTCCCCTATCTTCCTAACCCTCGGCCATTTGGTTTCCCCCGCCGAGGGCTTCGGTCTGGTTTTTTATATTGAGTAGATGTCAAACTCAAAATATTTCCGGATTTGTCCTTGTTTTTTGGACGTTCGGGGGCCGTCCGGGAGAGGTTCATAAAAAGTTCCGGGTAAAACTACAAGGACACATTTCGTATCCGAAGGTTACCCAATTAAATGATCTATCAATAAATAATAACAATTTTTAATGCAACCTTTTACAGATGCCTGTTTCTAAAAATTGAGAAAAGTAAAAAATAATAGAACTTAGAGTTAAGTGCGACTCGATCTCGTTAAAATTCAGAATTTTTTTGCAATTTAAAATAAATACTTAAACTACCTTTTTTTGCACGTGGAGAAATCTAGATAGCTATCAAGTCCCACGGTGTTCATCTCTTCGCCCTTTTCCGGGGAAGGCTCCTTATTGTTCAAGCCTGAAGATTTATACCCAATTATTATTTACTATTTTCTTCGTTATAATATATGTCAAGGATGTGTTTAATAGAACCTAAAATTTTATAGTTACCTTAGCTACCTAGGGTTGTATTTTAAATTTAACGCTAAAAAGACAAGCCGGTACCTAACATTTTGTTACAATCCACCTGTTGGTAAGTGGATGCTGTGGCACATAGACCATTCATCCCCAATTAAGAATCAAAATGCAGATGCGTTGCATCTCTGAGGACTAAGATGGTATGCCTCGTTTCCAGTATAAAGAATGTCCTACATAAAACAGAAAACAATCTATATGAATGAATTAAAAATTAAAATCATATATTATTTTATAAAAATATTTTAAGAGTAAAAATATTCGGTCAACAATTACCAACTGTTGATCGAAAGTAAAAACTCTTATTTTAATCTAAAAGTTTTTCAGGCATCGGCGATTTAGATGATGACAGCCCTAACTTTATGCAAAGACAAATCGGTAATAAAATAGAATTTTGTTATAAATAATTAGATATCTGAACATCAGACAAAATACCCTGTCTTTATTAGCTAGTAGGTTAGTAATAGAAAGTCGCCTCTTAGATTTAAGAAACAAGCGTCTACTTCAGAGTCCTTAATGCACTATGCACATTATACTCATGACCTTAATTTTTCTTGCAAAAGTCCATCAGATTTCAGATTGGAATTCTCTTTAGAAAGAATCTGACGTCTATAGGAAAATATACAAGAATCCACTCTAACATACTCCTAAAAGCTATGGTTTTTCAAATTCAGAAATGGTTCTGTTATATGTAGAATTAGATAAGGACATAGTTGTTCACTTGTATTTTTGGAAAAACTTAAGATTGCAGATAGAACAAATTGCGAGTGCGGACTAGACGAAGGTACACTCGATCATAATTTTGTTAACTGCCCTAACTCTTCGAGCTATATGGCTGGTCCATTGTCATTTCAGCTTACTTATCCGTTTAGTCTAGTTCTAGTGCGGATATCCTATTTTCTAAATCTTTTACGCAGAGAAACTTCGAGCATAGCTCTCTTCATAGCCCACTAAGCGACCTTGAACTTCTTCATACTGTCATTACTCATGTTGTCTATGTCTTAGAAATATTACTCTTGGGCATATACTCAAACGCAACTCAATTTTAAGATGATTTTAAGTCTCGTGTTGTCACAGTCTCTTTTTAAAGTGGTAGAGACTGCACGAGACTTGACAGAATCTTAAAATTCAGTAGCGTATGAGTATTTGTACATCAGAGTATAAGGTACAAGCATGTACTGGCAACTGAACGTCAATAACGGTTTTATGTGTTTTTGGTGTCTTATTAATTATTAAGTTGGTAATACTTTAGATCGAAATAGCTTTAAAAAAAATTTAACTGCCCTAACCTCTCACATTCACTAAATTTTATTTCTAGTAACATCTCCTGTCCTATAAATTTTAAGTCTTTGTTATTTAGTTTACACATATTGTACAAGGTCTTATTTGATTACGTATCCATAAATAACATTAGCTATAATATTTTTGTCACTTATTTTATATATTTATATTTTATTATACTTGCAGTAATTTTGTAAAACTGAGTGTGTAAATTCATCCGAAAATCTGTAACTTGTTACTTTATAACATAGATTAAAGTGAATCTATGTAAAACTTCGTAGTAAAGCTTAGGCTGATACACTTTATGACTTTCATGAAATACTTAACGCTGGCAGAATCAGTTGGTAGGTCTAACTAGCTAGTGTAGTTGATTTTAAGAATTTCGATTTTTCTTTTAACACTAAACAATAAATTAAAGCAAATTATGATAAAAAATTATGTAGCACATCGATTTCTTATAAATTAATGATCCAAGTTTTCGAATCATTCATCATCAATAATTTAAGCTCATCACAATTCCACTGCTGAACTTGGCTTTCTCCGTAGATAGCGGCTTATGTCCTAGATATAAGCCACTTAGCTTTTATGAGTTTTTCGTTTATGTATCAAATTATAATTATTTTTGCTTGTTTTGGTCTCTACAGAAAATAATGCAAATATAAGGTGCCCTTAATATATACAACAAATGTCAGATAAATAGATACAAGTATATCTTTGCTAAACATTCAATTCAAAAACCAATTTAACAACATAGACGATTTAATCTAATCCTCCTTTGCGCTGACGTCTGGTCTCAAAATAAGGTATTGAAACAGCTGACACACTCATACACACTATAAATTTCGTATAAGTATCTAATTACAGCCCCATTAATTCCCAACAAAAGGAAAGGATTTTTTTTTATTGATTTATTCAAAAATAACTGCATTACTATGTCTATAGTCATATTCATGCAAATCGCAAAGCCTAAAGATGAGATATTGTAAAAGCAGTCAATTTTATCGGTATCTCGGTATCCCATAAATTGTCAAAAAATTAAGAAAGTTAGCGTTGACCGTTGCCCACGTGTTTTGATTTTAAATTTAACATTGGTAAATTTATAACTGTTACCATGCAGTATTTGAAATATAAATAGAAGTATAGTTAAGACCACTAGAAAACTTATTTCTGAAGTCAAAATGCGAAAAGCCTGGTATTAGGGGCACCCACCCCTACATGCAAATATTTGATTTTGGGGTTCTATGCTTAGAGAAAATAAATCATAGGTACTAAGAATTGGCTGTGATGCCGAATCTAAAATTTTACAACCTATCGCAAGTCTGCAACTTTACTTATATTTTGTGATATTTATTTTTAAAGATATTACATTTTATTATACACAACATCCGTTTATTTCCACTTCCACCTGTTTTTTCATCATCAAGTTCCTACTTACATTTTGATCTTTCATTATCCGTATTGATTCTAAAATCTTGCAAAAAAGAAAGAACCAAAAAAATAGAATACATTTAACCGTCAGAGCGATAGAATCAGTCTAAAGTAGTTACCTATAGGTGTTTTGAATGACGAACACCAGTTAAATAACATTTGAAAAAGCGAAATCTTTTATCGCGTAACGCTTTCAATACCTATCAACTTTCACCGAATTTACAACAAGTTGATATTGAAAGGAAGTTGGAACTAAATTTCGTAACAATTTTTTTTTCATATTTGTTCAAATGAAAAAATTGTCACGTGTTAGCACAGATAGGTAGGTACATAAGGTTACCGTAATATTATCAAATTTCTTTTTTTAGTATTATAAAAGTAAATAAACATGTCGATATAGTTGTAGGGCCTTAAGGGCCCCAAAATTTTCGCGAATTTATTTATTACACTATTCTGGTATCTGGTCACGCTTATGGAGCGTTGTTATTCCGAACATTATTATTTCAAGGTTGTGCGGCCGCCCGTCGCAGTGAGGTTGCGTTGTGGGGCTCCTCGCTAGGCGTCGTTTAACTGGTATCTCTGTCCCTTTTTCGCACTAGGCTCACTGCAAATGCTGTACTTGGCATTCGATATGAGCATCGTCGACATGAACGTAATTATTCGATAGCAGTTCCACTATGATTGTGTATGTAATTACTTGTTTTGATAACATTGAATTTAAGTAGATTAGATGTGTAAACGTGTTTATTATATACACTGAAACTTGCAAAGACTTACACATCAAGTTTATTTAACAGCAAACATGAGTCATACTAATATTCATTCGTTCAATATATCAATATCTAGCCAGGGGAGAATCATTAACAAGTTGAATTCAATAATTTCAACATCTTTATTTAAAAAGGCCTACCCGTCCTTTACCTATGCTTTCATATCATTTACGTTACTTTAATCGTATATCATTACATATCATTTACCGTCAATCGTCGGACAGTTTCTACATTAGGCTTAGTGGTGCAAAGTTAAAACTTATTAACCGGCTCCAATTAAATAATAAATGAAATGGACAAAGAAACGGTATGCCAACAACAAAAGTATTTGCTGCGTTTGATACCGCTTATCTGTTTTTTAATTTTGTTCATTTTCTCAATTCTTAGTCACTTTAATGTTACAAATGATTTACCGTTACTGTTACAGCCTACTTAAGTCCACTGCTGAACATAGGCCTCCCCGATTGATTGCCTCACATTGGATATTTGATATTTGAAACGCTTGGCAAGCGGGTTGCCAACCGCACTTTTTTATTTTGAGTCGTTATTAGGAAGACGCTGCTGCCCATCTCCTGATTTCTTTCCCTCTGTAGCCTCTTACGATACCCACGGGGTGATTGATATGGGGTAATGGATATTCTTACACCGCCACTTACACAGTCACAAATGATTTAATCTTCTTTCTTATAAAATTAAAACAATATTTGTTTACTGCTCCTGTAGAATTGAATCCTGTGAACTCCAACCGGGAGACACATGGAGGGGAATGCATGGCAAGATGAGCGTGACCACGCCGGTTAAGAAGATAAGAAAAAAGTCTGACAATAAGCCACAATCGCAAATGTACGTATTATGCGTTTTGAGATATTATAAAACTTACATTTTCAACATAATATTTTCGAATTTTTTAAAAAGTATTATTGGATACTTTAGAAATAATGTTTCATAAAATAACATGCGTCACTCTCTTAGGTGGTAGTTGTTCCACTAGGTTGATCAATAAGTTTTCGGCATAGTACACTAATCCCTTATGAATGAGCTATAGATATGCGTTTTATTTTTTTGAATCTTAAATTCATTTGTAGCCAAGGCCAGAAGGAAAACTTTCAGTTTTTTAATATTAATTTTGTAGATCGGACCAAAATTAATATTCAGAAACTCGGGAATTAAAAAGTTAAATTAAACGCGATAGAATCCGTAAAAATTAGTATCATTTAATATACCCAATTAATTCTTTTTTTTTTTCAAATTTCATATTTGGTGGGAATTTAATTCGTATGCAAAATGGTGGAACTCGAACTTCGTGCGGTTATTATATTTCTGCCTGAATATTTTTTTTTTACAAAAAACGTTTTTAAAGAACTACGGTCTACTTTGTGCTCCGTCTTATTTTACAGTGGCATACTGGTGCGTTGAATTTAAACGTGACAGAACCGCCTGCAATTACACTCGCTCAGGGCGGCCAACAACGGCCGCTACGCAAGAAAACATTAAAAAGTAAAGCTTTCGTTTGGCAGTTCAGTTTATTTTAACTCATACCTTAATATTGCAAAAGGTGGCCGCGCGCTGGGTACCTCGAATGTTATCAGACGCCCAAAAGAAAGCAAGAGTTGACATTTCAAAGCTAAATTTAGCAATAATTGAGGAAGATCCAGATTCTTTTTGCGCTCGTTTCGTAACCGTAGATAAAACATGGGTACACCGTTTCGACCCGGAGATGAAAAACCAAAGCAAGGTGTGGAAAAGACCGTCTCCCCGCTAGCCAAGAGATTTAAGGTGTCTGCGTCCGCTGGAAAAATAATGGTCACTGTCTTCTGCGACGCGGAAGGTATAGTAAACTATTTAAGTAAAGGAGAGACAATAACCGGAGATTATTATGCATCATTAATCAACTAAACTACGCGAAGAACTAAAGAATAAACTTTGGGGAAAATTGCGTGCTGGAGTGCTTTCTCATCATGACAATATGCCCATCGATCTGATGTTGAACGCGCTGCCATCTGAACTACTTTCAGTTAATGCAGCACCTATCAATATTCCCCGAACCTAGATAGCTCCGTGTGGTTTTCACCTTTTTACTCGCCTGAAAAACACTTGCGTGGTATAAAATTCGACGGCGACGATGCGGTGATGTGTGCTGTAGAGGCCTTTTTCAATCAAGCCTTTTTTTCCAAGGGAATTAGTCAACTTACAATCAAGGTGTTGTTAGCTTAAAAAGCGATTAAGTTCAAAAATAAATACAAAGAAATCCAAGAGTTTCATTGCGTTTACAAAAACTTATTGATCAACCAAGTAAAGCTTTTTGTAATAAAAGAAATGTCTATTGCCTGAAGTTTACGAAATTATCATTTATTTCAAATGGCAGTGTTCTATTATAGGTATTATATTTTTTAGATATAGAATCATTTTTAGCGTTCTGTACCTTACAAAAGCAAAGGTCTTACGGTCCCTTAGAGGTGTCAAAAATTTATGCAATTTTTTACATCTCCAATTAAATTTTAGTCAACGCACAAATAAGTTTCTTGAAACATAAGACCACCGCACTGCTGGTAAAGCTGGAAAATAATTGTGTGAATATCGTTTTAAATTTGGAAGAGTTATGTTGTTTAATCATGAATGATAATACATTCATTAAATGGAATATTATATAACTTTCAAATAAATTGTCATTACGGTAGTTCGCGCGCCAACCATTATAGTGTAAGTTATAAGTCCTGGGTTGTCTGGAAGAGATTGCTATGTAGCAATACGACCGCGCTTTGTTTTTCCCTCAATATTTGATTATTTCTTTTTTGTTATTTTTATCTTTTCTTGGTGTACAATAAAGAGTATTGTATTGTAAGTTAATTGTACTATGGCTATAACCTTCGCGCAAGTATAAGCAATAAGTTGACAATGTTTTACCGCAATCTGTTGAACGATATGGCATCGCATAAAATTCGAACAAACAAATATTAAGTTTTATATATTACAGGAAGATTAACTAGAATATTCTCTTAGGAAAAGATGCTTGTTTTTGTTGTGTCTTGTTGCGCCAAATAATAAACATTATCAGTTATCTACTAATCTTTGGAAAACACTACATAATTATAATAATTAATATAATAATAATAATAATTATAATAATTAATATATTAACGAGATGTATTAATATTGTGATTGCTATTAGTACATATTGTGATATGAATACGTATTAGATATTTTTATTTGCTGCTAAACTAAATCCTTAATAGAATCAGACGTTATTTCAGAGAAATTCATTATATTGACAATGTTAAAAAATTAACTAGCTAGGATTCGCGTAATAAAATAAAATTATGTGTCTTACCTAGTTTGAAGAGCACCTCCCGCCCGCGGTCAGCCACCGCAGAGACTACTTCAGCCGAGGATGCCTAGAGGATGTGTAGAGGCGAAACACGTGTCGTATTATCGACGGTTTTGTGTCTTTCTTAGTGTAGTGTTGCTGGGCAGGAGTAGTGGTGACGGGGATATAACACGCACTTGTGGGAGGCCCGGATCTTAGCTAGTTAATATCTTAACATAACCAAACTAAGAGAGAAAATAATATCGTTCATTATGTTCTATAAATTAATTTATCTTTTTATGTACTTTGGCATTAATTTTTAAATTATTTTTTATAACCAAAAGTATTACAAACTTACTTCACATCATTCGAAAAGAAAACGTAACACGAACGTGATACACAACTTGGTAAATAGAATGGGAACAATTAATAATGTAGTGAGTTTACATGGATTTACTAAATTGTCTTTCATGATTTATGAGCTTTACAAAGTTCAAATACAAAAGTTTTGTAACAAAACACAGTCATGTTATAGCTTGTCTGCTGTATGCTGATGATGCAGTGCTTATTGCACCATCAGAGGCAGAACTGCAGGCACTAGTCACGTGTATGAAAGAAGAATGTGAAATTAAAGGTCTCCGTCTGAATGCTAATAAAACTAAGGTTCTGGTATTTGAAAGGGACGAAGAGAGAACGAAGTGTGAATTATGGGTAAATCAGGAATGTCTAGAACAGGTAAATGCAATTGTATACTTGGGGAGTGCTTTCAGCCGGGATGGAAGATGATTTAGATGTAGACAGGCATTAAGTAATGATTTATTTTTTTCTCCATAAAATTTAAAGTTTTCCTTTCTCTTGTTGTTTAAAATTTTAAACCTTTCCATTTGTGTATATTATTAAAACACGTAAAATTGCTAAAACTTCACATTAATTAAACGCCAGTTTCACTTTAGTAAATAAACAGATAAACACAACAAATTTTTACGTGGTAGAGCCATGCTGCAGCTACATTAGTAGTAAGTATAGTTATAGCACGAATGGGTCGGCTCGACCGGGGAAGGACCACGCTCTCACAGAATACCAGCGTAAATTAGCAGCTTAACGCTGTTGTGTTTCGTATGGTGAGTGTAGAGAACCGGAGACCCTTTTTACTGGAAACGAGTCATTCTGTCTTAGCCCTAACGGGTGACAACGCATCCGCATTTTGATTTGTAATAAAGGATATATGTAGATGTTTATGGGCCGCAGCAACCACTTACCATCAGGTGGACTGTGTGCTCGTTCGTCACCCTTATCCTATAAAAAAACAATATAAAATTTACATTTATTGCCCCAGATGCGGTGCCACGTTTTTGCATAGCCCATTTACGTTGCATTATGAAACGAATTTTTTCGTAGTAGATACCAGGCTTCACATTTCCATACTATCCCGTATAAACCGACCACTGATTGTTTATTTGTAAAATGTTTTCATATATTAGAATGGTGCAGATACGTTGCGTTTGCGAAGTCCGATAAGAAGCCACCAAGTGTAAGCGAGACGTCTGAGTATGCTTCTATTACTCGTTCGGTTCGTTGTGTTTGTACGTCATTGGTGCATCATTGACCTCATGACATTAGTATTAACCCATAAATATTATAGAAAATATTGTACAAACATAAACGCGAACATTTAAATATTATCTCGTATCAATTTACGTATTCTATCTAGCTATTTAGCCGTTCCGGGCATAGATGATTCTCGCGTAGATAATAAGATAAGCCTCGTATTTTCTTCTGGAGGTTTAAGCGGAATCTCAGCTATAGCATCGGTTTCTGGTATGGGTGACGATGGTTTGTTTAGCTCACCTTTATTCAAAAAGGACTCTAAAGGTACCATTCCGTAGCCGACCGCAGATAGCAACAGCAGACGACGTGTCGTCGCGACACGACTGGTTTCTATGTAGTTCTATGAAATACCTTCCGTAGCTAGTGACACGTCGTTTGCCGGAGCGGCAGACGACATGTCGCCCGACCGCAGATCAGTAGTGCCGCCAACGCCCGAGCGACGCGTTGAATTTTTCTCAAAAAAATGAGTTTCACTGATTCCGTGGAAGAGAAACTGAAAAACCAGGTGGCCCAATATCCCGCACTGTACGATGCATCTCACAATAATTATTTAAACAGTGTGACAAAAAAAAATTTTTGAAAAAATAAAGGTAAGGAGTAAAATAAAAGCGATAAATAGGTATATATGTATACATGATATATATAGTACCTATTTTGTTTACATAAATAGAGTACCCACAGAACTTTCGCAACAGATTGGAACACGTGCTGCTGCCGCCGCGGGAATCATGACTGCAGCGACGTGTCGTTGCGACAACGACATGTCGCCTGCTGTTGCTGTCTGCGGTCGGCTACGGAATGGTACCTTAATGCCCCTGCTGGCTTTTGTCGCTCTGCATCGTTTTCAAGTCTTCGTTTTTCATATTGGTGTCCCGACAAGCGTGATCCATCGTCAGCCATTCTGTACGGTAAAAAATAAAAATATGAAATA